CTAGAATCTTCTAAGGACTTTCCTAACAATTCTATAGGGTTCTAGGGTCTTCCTAAGGAAACCTCTATATTTCTCTAGAACGTTCCTACAAGTGCATAAATATCTAGAACATTTCCAAGGAAATTCTCTATAGTTTTAGAATATTCCACCAAGATCTAGTCCCTAACTTATGTAACCATTCCATATGGCAAAAATATATGCCAAGTGACACCTACGTGGCTTGATGATATGGCGGGTCATGACACTCTCCCCCAACCAATTTTGTGCCACCCTCGGCACAAAGCATCGATACATATGCGTGCACCTCGCGTTGGCGTCGCTAGAGATCTTTGTCCATTAGTCATGATGCCCTATGAAGCGGTTCTCCTTCCCATTTCATGAGGTACTGGCTAGTAGCTACCTTTCTTCTTACGCGTTTGTACTTTGGATGGATAGCAATGATGGCCTCCATCCTCCGCCCATCGAATGCCCCTCCTTGCTCTTGGCCTGAATCTTCCCATGACTCAGCCAAGTCTAGCAGCTTCTCAAGCATCGAGTCCATGCTTCCACTCCCTATTTGGCTGCCCTCCGTGGTCCAACCTTACTGACAAACTTGAACTCTCTACTTGGTGCATCCTCAGAGTCCGATAGCATGACATCATTTTGTAACTCACCATCCTCTTTAACTATATCCATCCAACATTTCTTGCTGCCACCATGCTCCATTTGCATGGTGCCAAGATAGGCTTTGGAATCCCTTACTTTCGGCTTAGATTCCAAGTGCATCCCTCCAATGCAGGCGGTTTCTCCTGTGTCATCCTTATGTGCTTGAGCAAAGTTCTATGTCATTGCTACAAGCTTCCCCAACTATGGGAATTCACTTGCCTGATGTGACCCTTTGCAGAAGTAGCACCCTCCCTTAAGCACGTACTCCCTACCATTTTTGGCCCCTTGCCGTTTCTCTTGGACCCTTGTTCGCTATGGGATGGCCCCTTGCCATTACCCTTGTATACCTCGGCTATGCATTTCCTGTTGTCCACATCATGATCTCCTTCATCCCTCTCGGCGTTGCTTCTTTGGACTTGGCAAGCTCCATCTTGAAGTCAACATGTGACTAGGCTACTCCGATGGCCCCATTCACGTTGGCTATTTGATGTCTTCTTAACTTATGCTTTGCCCAATTTTGCAACTCATCCATGAAGTAGAAGAGGAAATCTTCCTCGGACAATGACGAGATTTGCAGTATTAAGGTAGTGAACTCGCGTGCATACTCCACAATTGTGGTCTCTGTCGGAGCTCCCTTAACTTCCGCTAGTCTGCCACATCGCATGCAGCCCGTGCACCACCATACAGCTTTCGCTTAGGGACCTTCGCGTTGATCCCTTCTGCAAGTACCAAGCCCTTGGTAATTCCGGTCATGGTTCCCTACAAAACTTCCTTCTAGCAATCTCTTGTATTCTTTTTAACATTCCTTAGTCATAACCTTTGCTCTGATACTATGTTGTCACGTCCTTAGTCTTAAACTAAGTGCACGTGCGGCACTTGACAACTCACTCACGATCTTGCATAACTTGCTCACATTCTTGCTATGCCAAGTCAGTCTTACTACACTCAAGATCGCCAAGAGAATGAAAGAAATAACATAAGAGAATTGTTAAAGGAAGCTTTGTATTAGAGAGAGCTTGAATTGTTTGCTTGGTTGATGAATTACAAATGAATGCCCCCTATTTATACTAATCACCTAGGGGCTAGTATGTAAATAATAATTGTTCTACAAGTCCTTCCGTATTTACAAATAAGTCCTTCTCTAGAATATTCTACATAACTAGAATCTTCTAAGGACTTTCCTAACAATTCTATAGGGTTCTAGGGTCTTCCTAAGGAAACCTATATATTTCTGTAGAACCTTCCTACAAGTGCATAAATATCTAGAACATTTCCAAGAAAATTCTCTATAGTTCTAGAATATTCCACCAAGATCTAGTCCCTAACTTATGTAACCATTCCATATGGAAAAAATATATGCCAAGTGGCACCTACATGGCATGATGATGTGGTGGGTCATGACATAAGGCTCTCACGTGCCCTTCTTCCTTTTGTTTCTTTTTTTTTACTTAACTAATATTTAATTATATTTATTTTTAATAATTAATAACATTAAAATTATTAATATTCCCCTAATTGTATATCCAATTATTTTTAAATAGAGAAGTAACTCAAAATTAATAACACGGGTTTAAATCCGTAATAGAAGTATAATTTAAGATAAAAAAAATTAAATTCTATATTTAGCATGTCTTGAAACTTTTATAGATTTGAGGAGTGTTATATTCAACTTTTCATTCGTGCACCTTGGAGTTGAAATTGGTTCTCAATCAGCCTTGTTGAACCTCTTTAACAACTCCATAGCATACTTCTTTTGGTTGATGAAAGTTCCTTTTTCAAGTTGCTCCATTTCGATTTTAAGGAAATACTTCATTAACCCCAAATCTGTCATCTCAAATTCTTCTTTCATGGAAGTCTTAAACTCCTCAAGAATACTAACTGAGTTCCCTGTAAAGATTACATACAAGCAGATGCATATTAACTGATTTCCTACCTTTTTCTATATAATGTAGGCGCATGCATGCTTTGACATAACCTTTTTTCATAAGATGCTCATCAATCTGCTTATACCGAGCTCTAGGAGCTTGCGTTAATCCATGCAGGGCCTTTTTCAATTTACAAACCATACCTTCACGCCTTCCTTCACATAGCCAACATGTTGCTCCACATAGACACTCTTCATGTATTCCATTCAAAAATGCAGTTTTCATATCAAGTTGATACATTTTGTTTGCAGTTATACTGATATGAACAAGCAAAAATTTTCGAACCTGTTGAAGTGAGCTCTCCTCCTTGATCCGTCCTCAGTGCTTGTATTTTAACCCCATCTGGTTTTCTATTTCTAACTTGAGTTTTCTGAACATCTCATATGCTTTACTCTTTTACTTGAGAAAATATACCCATTGTATCCTTGAAGAATCATCAACGAGCAAAAGAAAATACTTGCTTCCATTAAGAGACTCTATGTACCTAGGTCCACATACATATGCATGAACCAAAGCAAGAGCTCTTCTTGCTCTAAATGACTTTTCTTTCTCCAACTTCTCTCGATGTTGCTTTGCGACAATGCAGGCTTCACATAATCTGGTTCTTGATGTGAGACTTGGCATCTTTCAAGTTTTAACAGCTTTGATGTCACTCCTTTGCTTCAACTCATCATAGTTTAAATGACAAAACCTCTTATGCCATATCGTTGATGTTTCTGCTGCAGAAACATAAAACATGAACTTGAAGTTGAAAAATTCTCTGGAAACATCTTGTTCGATGTCATTTAGCAAGTAAACATTTTGCAACCAAAATTGTCAAAAATTACCGGACTCCTTCCTCAAAAAGTATGCTATAACCAGATAACATAATTCATCCCAAGCTTAATAAATTTTTGCCGCATCTTTGGTACATAGAGGATACCATAAATTGTTTTACTTCCTTTAGGGAGCTCCATTTTGATACTACCGATGCCAGTGGTAGTGATTATGCTGTTATCTCCCTAAGTAATCACCGTCGTCTTTCTTTCATCTAGCTCATGAAACAGCTGCTTGTCTTCAGTCATGTGGTTGCTGCATCCGCTGTCAAGTTACCATACATTCTCCCTTTTGTCTACAATATTTTGCCAAATGTTCATACTTACGGCAGTTGTAACATTGGTGCTTTATTTTGAACCTGCAATCATCTTCTGCATGATTCTTCTTTTTGCAGAATTTGCATTCAGAATTTGCTTCTAGATGGACTGTAAACGGCCTCTTCCTCTACCATGAGCTCATCTTCCCCCTTCATTGGTTGCTTGCAGCACCTCTTCCTCATCCACTAAAACTCGACCTCATTGGGACATTTTCATCTATATTCACTTTTTGTATCACGTTTTAACTTATGCCCGCTTTGCAAAAAAAACTGTAAGCGTACCCATTTTTCGCATAACTTCAGCATACGGGGCTGAAGTAGCAAAGGCAATCGCTCAAAACTTTAGCATTCTAGTAGCTGGGCCTGAAGTTTAGCTCTAGAGCTGAAGTTTTTGTTTTGTAACTGGCGAACTTCAGCTCTAGTGCTGAAGTTTTTGTTTAGTAACTGGCGAACTTCAGCTCTAGAGCTGAAGTTTTTGTTTTTGTAACTGGCGAACTTCAGCTCTAGTGCTGAAGTTTTTGTTTAGTAACTGGCGAACTTCAGCTCTAGAGCTGAAGTTTTTGTTTTTGTAACTGACGAAGTTTTTGTTTTGTAACTGGCAAACTTCAGCTCTAGAGCTGAAGTTTTTGTTTTTGTAACTGGCGAACTTCAGCTCTAGAGCCGAAGTTTTTGCTTTGTAACTGGTGAAGTTTTTGTTTTGTAACTGGCAAAGTTTTTGTTTTATAACTGTCGAACTTCAGCTCTAGAGCTGAAGTTATTTAGTTCTCTTTTCTTTCTAGTGCTTGTGCTAGAGCTGGAGTTATTTAGTTCTCTTTTCTTTCTAGTGCTTGTGTGTTTGTTTTTCTTCTTCTTAATGTGTGTATTCTGAGAGACAAACAACTATTCTTTCAAAGAATTCTCTTTGACAGATCAGCATTTGGAAACATATGTCTGCTATATCCTTTGACACAAGCAAATTGTTATACATAGATTGCTTTTTAGAATTTATTTATATATAAAAATACTATTAAAGTCCCAACCTTCAATGACACGTGCCTTTCTGCGATGCAAAAGTTCACACTGCTATTGATTCTCGACATGAACAAGCAAGCGAATGTTAGCACCACACATTCTAGTGCAGCACCAACATCAGCAGAAGAAAGAAGAAGAAGAAGAAGAAGAAAAAGAAAATGAAGGAGGAGGATAAAGGGGGCTGAAGTTATTTAAAAAGTGGGTACAAGTTAAAAGATTTTTAAAATAAATGGGTATAGGTTAAATGTGAGCGACCAAATAGGGCGTCCCATGCAATTTTTACGACCTCATTTGAGAGGCTTGCTCCAAACTGCTTTGGGCTTCGATCTCTCCAATGTATGCTCATGGGATAAAAGTGATCCCATCAAGTAATGAATGGAATAGTTACTTAGGTCTTTTGACTCTTCAATTGCTATCATGACTGGGTCAAATATTTCTGGTAGACTCCTTAGGATTTTTTCAACAACTTGTTGCTCCTTCACTTCTTCTCGATATGCCCTCAGTTGGTTCACAATGGTCTGGGCACGAGTGGAAAAATCAACAACCTTCTCTGTGGTCTTCATTGTGAGATTCTCAAATCTCTTCTTAAGGCTTGAACTTTGACAACAATGGCTTGGTTCGATCCTTGGAATTCCTCCTGCAACACATCCCATGCCCATGATTCGAGGGAACAAGCTGTTATCTACACCTTATTGAATCATTGTCAAGGCTTTTACGTCCTTTTTTGTCTTCTCCTTAAGCTCTTTACACTGAGTTGATGTTAGTCTGTTTGTCTCTTTGTAAGTGGTGTAGCCACTCTGAACTACCTCCCACAAGTTGTAGGATCCGAGCGTCATCTTCATCTTAATATACCAAAAAGGATGATTGTCCTCTTTTAGGACTGGAATATGTAGTATTTGGTTCTTTATAACTTGTATTGACTAATGATTTATTATTGTGGTGTTTTTGGTTGTTGATGAGGCAGAGAAGGACAATGAGTGGGACTACAATGAAAATGTCGCAGATGATGAAGATGCATCTGAATTTTTGCATCAGGGTGGTATTGCGTTCAATAGATTGGACCTCCCTGGTGATGATAGTAAGTAGATAGTTGTCTTAACCACTCAGTTTGTATATTGTTGTTTACTTTTTTGGGGGTATTGGGAAGGGAAAAACATTTTGAAAAGGGGAAAGATTGGCTATAATGTAAATGAAAGAGGCAAGGGCGGCTCCGTAAAATTGGTGGCGTAAAGCCAAATTTTAATAAGAGGCCTTATACTTTTTTTATTAGTACGTATACACACATATATGCAAAAAAAATTAATCTTGCCATTTTTTCATACTTGTTGTTTATAGCATATATTCTTATTTATATTAAAAAGAAAAATTTAAATAAATGAAATATTAGACATGTATTTGCAATATGTTACATTTGATATTGTTGTAAAAAATATATTTACTAATATGATGATTTAAGTAGTTTAATTCAAAGTTTTAAAATATTTTTACTATTTAAGAGTAGACATCTTTCTTTCTTTTTTACAATTTTCTTTGTTTATATTATCTAATCTGAAATAAAATTATGAAATTCATTATTAAAAATTTTGGGGGACCTAAATCAAGACTTTACTAGTCTCCTACTAGAGCCATTTATCTGCCTCTGACATTCTCAATAAAATTTATAGAGTCTCACTTAAAATAAGGCAACTATGACAAGAGCATTAAAGGCAACTAGTTTGTCATTCGGTTACCAAATGTGATTGAAGTTGGTTGAATAGTACGTTTATAGTGGGGTAGTAGTCTGTAAATAATTGTTGATTGTCAATGAGGGGCGGCTCAACAAAACTGGTGGCCTAAAGCAAAATATATTAAAAAGACCCTGAAACGTCTCTTATAAAATTCATATAATATTGAAACATAAAAAACACCTACATGACTTTGATATAGTGGTGAGAGCACAACTCATGATATATTAGTTAGGTGTGCATCATATGGAATTGAATTCTTCCCTTAAGTGAAATGGTAAAGGATGAGCCCATTATTCATCATGTTTTGAACCTTGCAACATTTGCCTCGGGGATTTCTTAGTTAAAAAAATTGAGACACAAAAGAACTTGTTTTTTGGTGTGTGGATCAATCAAATGTGACAAAAAGAAATAGTTAATTTAGAGAATTGGAGTTGAAATTAGAAAGTAAAATCGTAAGAACCATGCAAAAAGATTATACATAAAGAAACAACAACAACAACAACAACCCAGTATAATCCCACTTAGTGGGTCTGGGGAAGGTAGTGTGTACGCAGACCTTACCCCTACCCTGGGGTAGAGAGGCTGTTTCCAAATAGACCCCTGACATCCTTCCCTCCAAGAACTTCCCATCTTGCTCTTGGGGAGACTCGAACTCACAACCTCTTGGTTGGAAGTGGAGGTTGCTTACCATCAGAGCAACCCCTCTGATTATACATAAAGAAAGAAAAAAGAAATTGATGAGAAGGTAAATATATTATTTAATTTAGTGACAATTTTTTTTCCAATTAATTCAATCTTACGTCTACCAAATGTTAAAAATTATTAAAATCTAAAATCTTTTATTAATAATTATATAAATATAAATTATGGAGTATATATTATATAATAATATAATAGTAGTTTTTTATTTTTGAAGCCTTAATTATTTGGGGTCCTAAGGCAAGGGCTTCACTTGCCTTACCCTAGAGCCGCCGTTGGAAAGAGGACATGGTAATAGCCTGTGAAAATATGCTGTGTAAATAATACGGTTAAAGAGTTTCAGACTTTCTTGTTGATGGATAACGTAGAGAAACGAATGTCTTTTTCTGTCCAATACTTTGTAGGTGACTTCGCTTTTTCAGCCCAATATTTTGTACTAGGTGACTTACTGTTTAAAGTGTGATGTTGCACCATGCAAACTTCCAATTTCTTTTGGTTAGTTTAGTTTTGGTTCTCAATCGGTGTTGGCATTTGATCCCAATTTGGAGATATATTGTTCTCTATCTAATGCGATTAATTCTCGAGTTCGAGAAATCTAATTAAGAGTAAAAGGATACTTATCGCTCATATATGTGTAGTCAGTGAAGTGTCTGTGAATCTGCTCCCCGTTGCCCGTGATCCAAAAACAAACTTTGTGACCATACCATACTAGTATAATCCTTTGTGATTGTGCATGCAACCCATATTTATGTGTCATATATAAATAATAATAACGCCCATTTCCTTATTTAGATTAATTGGTATAACCATGTTTACAATATTAATTGGTATAAAATTAATTCTACATCACTTTCTCTCTTCGATGCTCTTCGACGCTTTTGTGTAACGGTCACTGACAGCCACCACCGGCGACCCCACCCCAGTAGGTAAGCAACCCCCCTCCCACGTCTCTCATCCCTATCTACCACCCCCTTCTCTTCTCCTCCCTTACCCTTACCTTATTTGCGGCGGACCGCCGACCACACCGTTGGTAACCACTTCCGGCGATCCTTTTCTTCTTCCTTTGTTGTCATCTGGCACACTCCTAGGTGCTTTCGTTTCTATTCTTTTTCCCCCTTTTCGTTTTTCACTCCTTTCCTTTGCAACTGTCGGGGCTACGCCAGTGGTAGCGGTGACAGCCCCTTTTGGTACACGGTATTTTTTGTGTTTTTCAGAAAATTTCTCGGAGTTGTTGGAGATAAGTTACGTGCACGCGCACAAGTAAAGGAGAGCAGCCTAGGCGAGTGTTAACAAAGGGGAGGCGGGAAGCTGAACGTGAGCGTGCAACAACATCGAGTACATCAAAACAAGCACAAGTTCTGTTCTCGGGAGTTGGTACCTCCCATTTTATTGTTTCTCTCTTGGTGTTAGTTAAATTGATGTTACTTTAGTTTGCACTAGTTTAATCATACAACTAGGGTGCTAGTAGCTACTTGTGTCCTTCTAGTTTGGTTCGTTGTTCGTGGTGTGCTAACGAGTCTTCTTTAGCTGGTAGTGAGTGTAGTGGTTGTAGTCCGGGATGATAGAGTAAGGGTATGTCCTCGGGTGGGGCAAAAGATAGGGCGAGGGGTCGGGCAGGGTCCAGGTGGTGGGACGGGTGGCGGGAGAGGTAGGGGCAAGGGAGCCTATAGGTTGAGAATCGGGTCATGGAATATAGGTTCACTAACGAGTAAGTCTATAGAGTTGGATAAGATCCTCCAGAAGAGGAAGATTAATATAGCGTGTATTCAGGAGACTAGGTGGGTCGGATCCAGGGCAAAAGACGCGGATGGGTATAAGTTGTGGTACTCTGGAGTCAAAAGGGGTAAGAATGGAGTGAGTATCTTGGTAGATAGGCATATTAGAGAGTCCGTGGTAGAGGTTAGGCGGGTGAATAATAGATTAATGCCTATTAAGTTGGTGGTTGGTGAGTGTGCTTTAAATGTGGTTAGCGCGTACGCGCCGCAAGCATGGTTGGATGAAGAGATTAAAAGGCGTTTTTGGGAAGGGTTGGATGAGATTGTGCATAATATTCCGCCTTCTGAGAGCTTATTCATAGACGGAGATTTCAATGGTCATATTGGGTCGGTTGCAGGTGGATATACGGAGGTGCATAGCGGCTTCGGTTTCGGGGAAAGTAACGGAGGGGGCACTTCGCTGTTGGACTTCGCCAAGGCATTTGAGCTGGTGATTGCGAACTCAAGTTTTTCGAAGAGGGATGAGCACTTAGTTACTTTACAAAGTTCGGTGGCGAAGACCCAGATTGACTATTTTCTCCTCAGGAGAGGGGATAGAAGGTTGTGCAAGGATTGCAAGGTTATCCCAGGTGAGACCCTCGCAATGCAACATAGGCTTTTGGTAATGGACGTTGGTATTATAATAAGGAGGAAGAAGAGGTTAGTACGAGGTTGCCCGAGGATCAAGTGGGGTGCCTTGACAAGGATAAAGACCGGGAGTTGGAAGGAAGGTTATCGGCTATGGGAGCTTAGAGGAGTTATGGGGACGCAAACACTATATGGTCGACGACGGCGAACTGTGTAAGGAAGGCGGCGAGAGAGGTGTTAAGGGTATCTTCGGGTTGCTCTGATGGCCACAAAGGAGACTGGTGGTGGAATGAAGTTATCTAAGGTAAAGTGGAAGCGAAGAAGGCAGTGTATATGCAGTTAGTAGGGAGCACTAGCGGGGAGGAAAGGAGGATGAACATAGAGAGGTATAAGGTAGCTAGGAAGGAGGCGAAGCTGGCAGTCACGGAGGCAAAGACAACGGCTTTTGCTCGCCTGTATAAGGAACTGGGGGATAAAGGCGGGGAGAAGAAGTTATTCCAACTAGCTAAGGCAAGAGATAGGAGGGCTAGGGATCTGGACCAAGTGAGGTGCATCAAAGACGAGGACGACAGAGTTTTGATGGGGGATGACCAGATTAAGAAGAATGGGATCAGGATATTGTGCTAGGTGAATTGGGAAATGCCGACAATCTACATGACTTTAGTTATAGGCACATTGAGGTCGAGGAAGTAATGGAGTCAATACGTAATATGAGTAGGGGCAGAGCAACCGGACCGGACGAAATTCCGGTTGAACTTTAGAGGTGTGTGGGTAGAGCAGGCTTGGAATGGTTAACTGGGTTATTTAATGTTATATTCGAGACAAATAGGATGCTAGATGAGTGGAGGTGGAGTACAATGGTCCCGTTGTACAAGAACAAAGGTAATATCCATAGTTGTAATAATTATAGGGGTATCAAATTACTAAGTCATACTATGAAAGATTGGGAAAAAGTGGTAGAAATGAGAGTGCGAAGGACTGTCTATTTCGGACAACCAGTTTGGTTCATGCCGGGGCATTCTACCACAGAAGCTATCCACCTTATTAGGAGGACGGTGGAACAGTACAGGGATAGGAAGAAAGATCTCCACATGGTATGTATTGATCTGGAGAAAGCGTACGACAAGGTTCCTAGAGAGGTTTTATAGAGCTGCTTGGAGGAGAAAGGGGTGTTGATTGCCTATATTAAGATGATCAAAGACATGTATGATGGGGATAAGACTAGGGTTAGGACAGTAGGAGGCAATTCCGAGCATTTTTCGGTTGTTATAGGGTTGCACCAAGGGTCTACGCTCAGCCCGTTCCTATTTGACCTAGTGATGGATGCACTGACTCATCATATTCAAGGGGAGGTGCCATGGTGTATGCTATTTGCTGATGACATAGTTCTGATTGATGAGACTCAAGGTGGCGTCAACGAGAGGCTAGAGGTTTGGAGACAGACCCTTGAGTCTAAGGGTTTCAAGTTGAGCAGGACTAAGACGGAATACCTAGAGTGCAAGTTCAGTGTCGAGCAAACGGAAGCGGGGGTGGACGTGAGGCTCGACTCCCAAGTCATTCCCAAGAGGAGTAGTTGCAAGTACCTTGGGTCGGTTATTCAGGGGATTGGGGAGATCGACGAGGATGTCATACATCGTATAGGGACGGGGTGGATGAAGTGGAGGTTAGCATCAGGAGTCCTGTATGACAAAAAAGTGCCACCAATACTAAAAGGTAAGTTTTATAAAGCAGTGGTTAGGCCTGCCATGTTGTACGGGACCGAGTGTTGGCCGGTTAAGAACTCACATATCCAAAAGATGAAAGTAGCAGAGATGAGGATGTTGAGGTGAATGTGCGGGCATACTAAGATGGATAAGATTAGGAATGAAGCTATTTGGGAGAAGGTGGGAGTAGCCCCCGTAGAGGACAAGATAAGGAAAGCAAGACTCAGATGGTTCATGCACATTCAGAGGAGGAGCACGGATGCTCCGATGAAGAGATGTGAGCGACTAGCTGTGGTGGGCATGAGGAGAGGTATATGACGGCCCAATAAGCATTGGGGAGAGGTGATCAGGCAGGACATGGCATGACTTAGAATTACTGAGGACATGGCCCTTGACAGAGTATTGTGGAGGTCGAGCATTAAAGTTGTAGGTTAGGAGGTAGTTGTGAATATTTCTTCGAAGCATAAGAGTTAAACTTGCTAGTTAGGTTTTAGTTTTAGAATGTTAGTGGTTTCTACTGATGCAGGTTTTTACCTACTGGTTATTGTGTACTTTCCATCTATTTCGTATTTTTTTATATTGCTGTTATTTTATTATGTTTTTATTGATAATACTAATATATCGTCTCTTGTCGTCTTCTTGAGTTGAGGGTCTCCTGGAAACAGCCTCTCTACCCCTCAGGGTAGAGGTAAGGTCTGCGTATATACTACCCTCCCCAGACCCCACTAGTGGGATTACACTGGGTCGTTGTTGTTGTTGTAGCTTGATGCACATTTTGGAGAATCGTTCTTATATGAAAGCCTAAAGTCTCAGATGTTCACAGATATGCAAAAATACGAATACTAAAATAGATGGGGACAAAAGGTGTAAATAACACAGAGGATAAAATGAGATGAGGTTGTAAGAGATTATTTGACAATATCATATGTCAACCTCCAGATAAAGTGAAACCACCTTAGGAGCTTGATAGATGTAAAAAATGTAATAGGGAAATTATCAACAAAGACCCACAATATCTTGGAATCCATGCACACCTAACACAAAGTAGGCAGTTTTACTGCTTCCTCATTAAAAATCCTTCCGTAAAACCCACTTCAGGAAAAATCGGTCCAAGGGAAAAAGAGTACAACACGTGCTTTCAGAGCTAATTGTCAAATTTATCCTTGATTGGATACCTGCATGAGTTAATCCAAAGCATAACAAATTTCAAAGCAAAATTACTTGTACCAAAGCAGTATTACTGCTTTAAGTGTGCCACATTCTAGTTGTTTGGTAGTTGTATACCGTTCCTTGATTCGAGCTTATATAGACCTTTCCCGGTTATACCGACAACTTTATATGGACCTTCCTAGTTCGGGCCTAGTTTCTCGTCATTTGGGTTCTTGGTGTGGAGCGTAACTTTCCTTAATACCAAGTCCCCGACTTGGAAATGTCGAAGGTTAGCCTTAGGTTGTAGTATCTCCCCATTCGCTGCTTTTGGGTAGCTAATCAGACGAGGGCGGCTTTTCACCTTTCATCCGATAAGTCCAAGCTCGCGTCCATGGCCTCGCCATTTGACGCCTCGGTAGCGTACTGAAACATTACATTTGGTTCTCCTATTTTAACTAGTATCAGAGCTTCCACACCCTAGACAAAAAAGAAAGGGGTCGCATTTGTGCTTGACTTTGAAGTCGTTCGATATGCCCACAAGACTTTGGGCAAGATTTCTTTCCACTCTCCCTTCGAATCGGTCACTCTCTTCTTTATGTTTTGGAGTATAGTTTTGTTTGTTGACTCCACCTGACCGTTCCCACTAGGTTTGTAAGGTGTTGACAAGATCCTTTTAATTTTGTGGTCTTCAAGAAACATACTTACCTTGTTGTAGACGAACTGCTTCCCGTTGTCGTAAGAGATCTCGGCCAATATCTCAAATCGACATATTATATGATCCCAAATGAAGCTGATGACCTCTTTATCCTGAACCTTTTCAAACGCTTGTGCTTCGACCCACTTGGAGAAATAATCAGCCATGAGTAGTATGTATTGGGCTTTACCGGGTGCCCATATCAAGGGACCAAAGATGTCCATCCCCGTTTTGATAAAAGGCCATGGCGATTAAACCGGGTGAAGCATTTCCCTGGTTGATAAATCATCGGGATGTGCCTTTGGCATTCGTTACACTTTCGAACGAAGCCTTTTGGATCCTTTTCCATCTCATTCCAGTAATAACCAGCTCTGATCAATTCTTGAACCAAGGATTTCGCTCCCGAATGGTTCCTACAAGTACCCTCGCGTACTTCTCTCATAGCATAGTCGGTCTCTACTAGACCAAGCACCTAGCTAGTGGCCCCAAAAAGGATTTTCTATACAATTTTCCCTCGACCAAGCTAAACCTGGTAGCTTTAGTACGTAGGGCCCTTGACTCCTTGGGGTCCGATGGCAATTTCCCTTTCTCCAGGTAGTCTATGTATTTGTTCCTCCAGTTCCAAGTCAAGCTTGTCGAGTTTACCTCAGTGTGACCTTCTTCTACAATCGATTTCATCAACTGTACTACTGCTCCAGAGTGAAATTCGTTGGACTCGATTGACGACCCTAAATGCGCCAATGCATCGGCCTCGTATTTTGATCCCGAGGTACGTGTTGTAGCCTCATATTCGGCTTCATTGTTAGTCAATTTATAGTTCTAATAGACTTCCTTATTACGTTACTCGCACATGGTTTTAATATGATGCCTATCCCAGAACCCTTCCTATTGGAAGCACCGTCCATAAATAGGTTCTAGATCCTCGATCTAGTCCCCGAAGTGAGCAGTAATTCCTTCTCAACCTCGAGGATCAAGGCCGCAAAAAGTCGGCCACAAAATCTACCAAAATTTGAGATTTGTGGCGGTTTGGTGTTTGTACTTGATATCATCCCCGCTAATTTCTACGGCCCATTTGACCAATCAACCTGAGATCTCGGGTTGTGCATAACATTCCTCAGCTAGTACGAGGTCACGACACATATGGGGTGACATTGAAAGTACGGTTTTAATTTCCTAGATGTACTTTATAAGGAGAGCAACTAATGTTTCTGAGTGTGGATGCCTTTTCGGCGTCGCATAGTGTTCTACTAGCATAATAAATAGGAAATTATGTAACTTCTTCTACCCAGACCAGGACACCACTTACCACTACATCGAAAACTACCAAGTAGAGGTATAGATCGTCCACCTTCGGAATATGCAGCAAGGGAGGGCTCGATAAGTATCGCTTGAGTTCTTCTAAAGCTCGCTGGCACTCCCGGGTCCAAGAGAATTTGTTCTTCTTTTTCAATAATGAGAAAAACCGGGGGCTCTTATCTAACGATCTCGAAATAAACCGGCCCAACGCGGCTATCCGCTCGGTCAGTCTTTTAATGCCTTAACGTTATCAACTACAGTGATATCTTCTATAACTTTTATTTTGTTCGGGTTGATCTCTATTCCCCGGTTAGATACCATGAACCCGAGGAACTTTCCCGAGTTGACCCCAAAAGCACACTTCTTTGGACTTAG